ACCTCCAGGCCATAATTTCACCAGAGTAGAGAATTACATATATGTAGTTATATGAGATATGTCACATATCAACATAGTTTAATGGAGTTCAGCTTTCACGGTCCATTTACATTAATCCACATTAGAGTTTGTTTATATGGAGCATTCCAGAAACTCAAGCCTGTCTCTCTCAGTAAACCATTGTTTTACGGTAATGATTAAAAAAGTTAAGTGTGAGAGAAAATGAACCTGGGCTGGCATTAATCATCAGCAGTACTCTAAATTCATCTTACTGACGGAGCTTCAAAGCTTGTTGTTGCAGACTTAAAAAATAGAGTGTTTTTCACCTTGATGAGCAACAGGAGCTCAGAAATTCCGGCGGTTTACGTGTTTACAGAGAGCAGAAGCTCAAATTTTTTCAGCCTTTCAATCAGCAGTAGAAGCTAAAAAAGTCCAGCAAATCTCATCTTCATAAGCAACCCAAGCAAAAAAAAATCTTTTCCATCTTCAGAAACAGCAGAAGCACAAATACTTCCATCCTTTCCATCTTTATGCGCAATAGAGTTTGAGAAATTCCATTATTTTTGAACTTCATGACCAGTTGAGGCTCAAAAATGTAATCCTCTCTATTTTCTTGAATAGTTGAAGTTCAAGGATTCCATCATTGTGAACAACAGAAGCCAAAACAGTTGTCTTTTCCATCTTTATGAACAGTATAAGCTCAGAAATTCTAGCATTATTCATCTTCATGAACAACAGAAACTAAAAAAATCATCTTTTTCATATTCATGAACAGCAGAACTTCAAGAATTCCAGCGTTTTCCATTTTCATGAACAATAGGTGCTCAGAAATTACATCCTTTCCATCTTCATAAAGAACAGAGGCCAGAAATTTCCAGTGTTTTCTATCTTTGTAAACAATAGATGCCCAAAATACATCTTTTCAATCTTTCTAAACAATGGAGGCTAAAAATTGTCCACCATTACCATCTATAGATGCTAGACAAGTCCAGCATTTTCTATCTTCTTAAACAATACAAGCTCAAAATATTCAGCATTTTCTTCCTCATGAACAGCAGAAGCAGAAGTGTGGGTCCTCCTGCAGTGGAGCAGAGAGACACTAATGAATTCATGGAATAAACGTTTAGATGAACGTCTGATTCTGAGCTTCAAAGCCTGACTTCAAGAGACCTCGTTGTGCTGTTAAAAGTAATATAGTCTCTATGGGTTATATCTTCACTCAGAGGAAAGTCTGAAATCCCCAACAGGAATGTCTCAGGAAATAAAGAGCCTGTTCTGACAGATTATGGTGATTTAGAAGTTTCTAAACATGCTCACATACAGTTCAGGGTCAGTGCTGCAGCTATTTTATTTTGCTCTGGAATGCAGTAGAAATAGTCGAAAGGGTTTTGTTGTACCAACCCCATATCTTCTTCCTCATTCTGGAGTACACTAATGGCCAAAAATTGAATCAGGAAGTGATTTTTTTTGGAAAGATTATTTTACAATTAAGGTATGTTTGTTGATTACCAAAAGACGTTCCAGATATATCACTGGTGCTATACTCTTACTCTGGAGCAGTGTTTTCCGACTCAGTCCTCAGGGCCCCCCAGATGGTCCACATTTTTGCTCCAAATTGACTCACAACACAAGGATAAAGGACAAATCTAGACAGTGTGGGGGCCTTCATTGGGCCTTCAGATTCTTTGTCAATAACAATCTGTTACATTGAGCAGTTTTTAATTCTTTCCATTCTCCTAAAGTAACTCATTTGATCGAGCTGGTAAAGCTTTCATGAGCATCTGAATGGGAGAATTAGGTGGATTTGATTAGAGCTGCAATAAAACTCTGCAGGAGAATCAGCAGGAGCTCAGTCTTTTAACCCAATGTTGAGAGTTATTGCTAACGATAACCAAGACATGTAATTTTATAGAAACTTTTTTTCACTTGTATTTCTTTGAAACAAGTGAAGAACTTGTGTGGAAAGTGCAAATTGTAAATGTGCAATCCTCGTCACATTAGTGTTTTTAAGTAGAAGAGTTTATTTTATCATGATGTGAATTCGGTGAACAGTAATTGTGCACATAATCTTGTTTTGCAGAAAGAACAAAAAAATATCATTTACCTTCTTGCCACATTGTTTGTAATGTTTTTACATTGAAACAAACACAAAATAGTCAGACTCAAATGTGGAGTTTGTAAATTAAATGCAAATGTAAGTCTTTATGTAATTATATTATTAACAATACATATTCTCTATACTTCATTTGAAGAGTCAGTCAGTTAAATAGACACTTTTGTTGCACACAGTTAGCTGAAACTTATTAATGAACATATTTTACTCAAGTAAACAAAATTAAGGAAAAAATATAATATTTGTGTAAACATAGTTACATAGGCCTGTATTACATGTTGGAGTAAAGCCTCTGTGTTTAGTGGGGCAGATTTTTGGAGCTTGTCCTTGTGCATGTTTTACTTTTAGAACCGTGATATTTCAGTGGCCTGTCAAAACTCGCTGGGACGTGTCGTCCTATCAAAACAATCGATCGTCCTCGTCCATCCCCTCATCAATAAGCCCTCTGTCGTCCCCTTGCCATGACAATGACGGCAGTGTCAGACCTGACGGCGCAGAGCGACTGTAGCCATCGTTGTCCGGTCACACCTCGCAAACCCTCTCCTTCGCTGGGCGACCTTTGCGGAAATCCAGCAAATCCAATCTGCATGCAAATAACGGAGAGCCTTTTGGTGACATTTTTACGGTTATCGCTCCATCCCGCTGCCCTGAATATGCTGAGGCCACATTTCTACCAGAATGCGTGAGAGAGAGAGAGAGAGAGAGAGAGAGAGAGAGAGAGAGAGAGAGAAAGACTGGTGACCACTTGTTTATATCCAGTGCTGCTAAATAACACTACTCATTTTCCTCTTGGCAGAGCACAGTAAAAAAAGGCAAAAAGAGGGAGGTGAAAAAGGAGGAGTAATAATTGCTTTGGTCTGAGAGAGGATGGCTAAATATGCTTGATTGCTTCCCTAAGCTTCAACGCCTTGTGGTGAAATATGGGAGGCTCAAACAACATAGAAGTGGAGTGATAGTTAAAGTCATAATGTCTGTCTCTCTCTCTCTCTCTCTCTCTCTCTCTCATTCTCTCTTTCTGTTTTTTGGTCTCTTTCTACATTACATCTCACTCTTACAACTCTTTAAGCCATAGACAGCCTCTAAAAAGCAATATATGTTACAACTTGAACAGATCATAAAAGTAAAGGATTCTTTGTGGATTCAGAATAGCTACACAACCAAGTGTCCTGAAAGACACAATGCTCTCCATTCTGTTGCTGTGCCACACACGCAAGATTGTTTGGAGTCTCTGGAATTTTCTCCTCAATTTACATTGGATAATTTGGCCTGTCAGTTATTTTTCTAGAACATTTTGAAGCTAAATGTCAATATTGGAATGGTGGTGTTTGGTGGATAATGTGTTTGTTGGGGAGTGAGGGTGTTTGGTGGATATGTGTTTGTTGGGGAGTGAGGGTGTTTGGTGGATATGTGTTTGTTGGGGAGTGATGGTGTTTGGTGCATAATGTGTTTGTTGGAGAGTGAAGGTATTTTGCGGAGAATGTGTTTGTTGGAGAGTGATGGTGTTTGGTGGAGAATGTGTTGGAGAGTGATGGTGTTTTGTGGAGGATGTGTTTGTTGGAGAGTGATGGTGTTTGGTGGATAATGTGTTTGTTGGGGAGTGAGGGTGTTTGGTGCATAATGTGTTTGTTGGAGAGTGAAGGTATTTTGCGGAGAATGTGTTTGTTGGAGAGTGATGGTGTTTGGTGGAAAATGTGTTTGTTGGGGAGTGATGGTGTTTGGTGGAGAATGTGTTGGAGAGTGATGGTGTTTGGTGGAGAATGTGTTGGGGAGTGATGGTGTTTGGTGGATAATGTGTTTGTTGGGGAGTGCTGTGTTTGGTAGAGAATGTGTTTGTTGGAGAGTGACGGTGTTTGGTGGAGAATGTGTTTGTTGGGGAGTGCTGTGTTTGGTAGAGAATGTGTTTGTTGGAGAGTGATGGTGTTTGGTGGAGAATGTGTTTGTTGGAGAGTGATGGTGTTTTGTGGAGAATGGTGATGTTTCTTGAGAGTGTTGGTGTTCAGTACAACATGATCGTGTCCATTGACGCTGGTGGTTGTTTTTGGAGAATGATTGTGTTTGCTGGAAAATAACAGTGTTTGGTGGAAAATGTAGGTGTTTGATGGATAATGAGGTTGTTTATAATCAAATGTCTGTGATTGTTGGAGGATTGCTGGTGTTTAGTTGAGACTGTTGGTGTTCAAAATAGAAAGTTTATGCTTGTTGGAGAATGATGGTGATCAGTGGGTCAGTGTTCTGGGCTTAATTCCCCATTCGTTCATCTGCAGCTCTGAAGAAAAGCACACTTCATCACTTAGCCTATCATGAGAGTTGTGCATGTGTGAACGCTGATGAATTTACCAGCTTTGCCCTCAATTCACCACAGGCATTAAAAAAGGGCCTCATTTTGTGGAAACAACCCAAAGCACATTTCTCCTTGCTGGTTCAATAAGCACCTAATCATTTGCAGGGATATTAGTCCGTGGGCCTGTTTGAGGCAGCGGATGCTTCTGATGCTGGCAGGAAATAGCCTGGGAAAAATGTCCTCAACAAACCCTAAATACTTGTTTTATTTATTTATTTACCATCTTGTTTATTTATTTTGGAGGAAGTCTAATTTGTTTTCCTGTAATTATGCTGTTTTATGGTACAACGTCAATTCTGCTAATAAATTTTAAATTGACCGTGTTATATTCATACAAGGATCCAATCTCTGCTGCTTCTGAGTGAGTTTTTCCTGTAAACATCTGAAACATGTTTAAGAATGTTCTGGATTTTTCTGCCTTTGTGCCAAAATAGTAAATGATTAAAATATTCCTGGCTGTGTTTTTTACTATGATAAAAATAAATACATTATAGATGCTCTGCTGGGCCATTCTGACAGACACTTTCTCTTTTTCTGGTCTTTCAGTTCTCCTGAGATGTAAACTGCAGAATGAACCTTTGGAGAAGGTAAGATAGAGTGTTTTTTATATATTAAAAGTCGAAGACAGAGAGCATGCAAGCATTTTTTCCCCCTCTGTGTATTACTGTCTCTCGCTTTGCTGAGTTTGACTCTCTGACCTTAAACCCCAGGACTCCATATCCCAGAATGCATAGCATATGTTCAAAATGAGCCTTTCTCCTGCTGTAACTCTCCACGGACTGTCAGAGAGAGAGAGAGAGAGAGAGAGAGACAAAGAGAGAGAGAGAGAGAGAGAGAGAGAGACAGAGAGAGAGAGTGAGTATAAGTAGGAAAGGAGGAGAGATGGAAAGAAAGAATAAATAGGGAAAGAGAAAGAGACAGTGAAAGAGTAGGAAGAAAAAGGCAGTGTGAGAGAGAGTCTAAAAGGAGAGAGATGTGAAAGAGAGAGGAGGTGAGGAGAGAAAGTGAGAAAAAGGTATAGACAGAAGATTTAAAAGAGGGAGTGAGAGAGAGATTGAAAAAAGGCACAAAGAAAGATGAGAGATGAGAGGAGATAAAGATGAGAGATAAGGAAGAGAGATGGTGAGAGTGAATATAAAGAAGAGGGTGAGAAAAAGAAAAGGGAAGAGCAATAGAGGAGGTGAATGAGTGTGAAAAAGACAAGAGAGAACAAGTCAAGAGAAGGAGGGAGAAAGGTAAAGAGAATGAGAGAGGGTGAAATGGAAGGTGCGAGAGATGGAGGGATAAGGAAGAGAAAAATAGAAATAAAAAAAGACAGAGAGGTAAGAGAGTGAGAAAGTAGAGAGGGTAAGAGAGCAGGTGAAAAAACGGGGAGAGAGGAAGGAGAGAAAGAGGAGAAGAGAGAAAAGGCAGAGAGAAATAGGGAGAGTGAAAGAAAGTGAGTGAAAAGAAGAGAGAGTGAGCGATGGAGAGTAGAGAGACAGAGCGAGAGAATGAGGAAGAAGAGAAAGAAATGGGGAGGGAGTGGTGTCTTAGCGTAGACTCAGAGAGACGAGATAGTGGCATGGTTTTTATGAGAGTGCTGTCGTGAGCCCGGCGGATATGAGAATATTTCAGAGATTTGAGCATTTCCAATACTAGTGATATTAACCCAAATCACTTTCAATTATTCGCCGTATGAAAATAGTGTCGTTTCATTCTCGGGTATAGATTCTCTCTGCCGTTATGAAAGGTTCCTAAAAGGGATGGATATTACCTGACAAAATAAATGTGACAACTATAATTCAGCGCTAGCATGCATATTGCAATGAAGGTGCGCTGTTTGACTGGATATTAATTTTATTAGACGCCATATTGCATATCTACCAGTGCTGCCGTCATTTCAGCTGGGACATTCTATATTAAATGTCCATCATTAAGCTTTAGCAGATTTGAAAATATATCCACTCATAAGGGAAATGCAAACACAGGCTTTGATCGTTGTCAACTCGGGTCTAATTATCAAACCTTTTTGTTTAGTTAGTGATCATTTTAATAATGATGTTCAGGAGAACATAAAGCCCAGGGAAGGCAACACTTACAGATTCAGTTTCCTTTAAAAACCTATTAAAAATCAGCTAGAATTCTTACACAGAAATAACTGATTGACCAATATTAATCTTGCTCTTGTTGTGGTTTCTAAAGCTGATTTTATGACCGATGATGGTGTTAGTTGACAGTGTTCGTCCGTGATGGTGCTTGAGCATTATCTTAATTTTAAGGTGGTGATGGTATTGTTTGGAGAATGGTGTTGTTTGGTGTAAAATGGTGGTTTTATTCGAGAACAATGATGTTTGGTGAAGTGTTGGTCTTTGGTATAGAAAGATGGTGAATGTTGTTGGAGAATAATGGTGTTTGGCTGGATAATGATGGTGTTTCTTGAAGAAGGATGATGTTTGGTGGACAGATGTGATGTTTTTGTTTGGAGAATATTGGAATTGTTGAAGGATAATTAGATTAAGAGACCATTATTAATCCCACAAAAAGGGAAATTCACCTCCACATTTAACCCATCTGTGCAGTGAAACACCACATGCACACCAGTGAACACACACACTAGGGGGCGGTGAGCATACTTGCCCGGAGTGGTGGGCAGCCCTATCCGCAGCGCCCGGGGAGCAGTTAGGGGTGAGGTGCCTTGCTGAAAGGCACTTCAGTCACGTACTGTCGGCTCAGGGGATCGATTGCTGTTTTGATGGAGAATTGATGAGAATGTTGTTTGGTGGAGAATGTTGGTATTTGATGGAGAACATTGTTTTGATGGAGAATATTGGTGGAGAATGTTAGTATTTGATGGAGAATATTGTTGTTTTGATGGACAGTGTTGGTGTTTGATGGAGAATGATGATGTTTCATGAAACAATGAATTAAAATGTTTACATAATAAACAGAATGCAAAGGAAATTACTGCAGAATAAGATGCGGTTTTAATTCATTTAATTTAACTGAAAAGTGAAAAGAAAAAGTAATCATAAGACGAATACTTTGGATAGTTTGGACAGATCTTTATCATGTTACTTTGTGGTGTGGAAAACAAAGAAAAAAAAGAAAAAGAAACTTTAACCACTGTAGCATACCACCTCTTGTGGTTATTAATGCTTTAGTAAACACTAAGCCCTGACACCTTTACACAGGGCTCTGGCACTGTGTGATGTTTCCATCTTTAGAAAGGTTCAGCACCCCCAAACTCAGGATTTAGCATGCTTGCTTTCCAACTCCCTGCTGCTTTTTGTAGGTGCTGTGATAATAAAACTACCTACACCTAAACCTAAAGCCCTGCTGAAAAGCTTCCACTTGCAGCTGAATGAAGGTTGGGAAGCAGAGAGGGCACAGCTTTAAAAGAAGAGGGCACAGAGAGGAAGAAAATGGTGGAAGTGCAAAGAAACAAAAATGGAGAGATTAGTGCGCATGCAGCATTTAAGAGAGGAAGAAGGAGGGAGGGAGGGACAGGTGCAAGGGTTGAATATGAGCTATCAAAATGCAGAGAACGAGTAGGAAAAGAGTGCAAGGAGCATTTATGAAGAATATAATATCCTTCCACTTCCATAAAGTAAACATGTCAAGAGACTATTTCACTCAATATGCACAGAAACATCTCATCAGCATTTCTAATATAGTAAAAGAGGACAAAGCTGATCTTTTGGTTGCTGGCGTTAAAGGGGAATTCCTTTATTATTTCGTCATTTTTTTAAAAATCCCTACATAATTAAATGCTTGAGGTGAAAACAGACTTTTTCAGACTTGTTCAGAATAGTTTAATGTGAAATGCTCTGCTCTAGAGAAACTTACAGAATCAGAACTGTTCACAGTGGTGGTGATAGGAACCAGACATCCACCTTTAAAAACTCCCTCACAGAAAGTCATTACATTAAATTGTTATTAATACACTGTGTGATGACATGGTTTTACAGTAGTTTTAAGAAAAGCATTAAAACCTATTTTTAAAAGCCATTCATGGTGGAGAAATACATGCAGGGTATTGTAAGGCAAAATAATCCCCAAGTAAAACAAATTAAAAATATATATAATCATTTTTAATCATTTTCATAATTCAAATCAATATTAAAAGCAAATAAAATGGCTATATTTGTGTTGTGAACATCAAGACCCCTGGTTCCTATCACCACCACTGTAAAGAAATCAATCTCTGCAGTGAAGTGTTTCACATCAAACCACTCTGCATGACTTTACATCTCGATTGATTTATGCAGAAATTTTGAAAATTGGTGGAAGTCCCTTTTCTGGTTAGGCGGAGCACAGCAAACATGAAAACGAGAATGTGCATTCAGAATGTACTGAAAAAGCTTATGTCATTGTTTTTTTTTATGATATATATGTTATAGGAAGTGTTTTAGACTGGACTGCTTTTTCAACGAGGCACAATACTGGGCAGCCAATCAGAACAGAGCTCATTTACATACATCAGACACGGTAACAAAAACAGCCTCTTTAAATCTAAGGGATAAAGAGAGGTTGGAAAATGGCTCTGTTGAAAAGAATGATGAGTGTTTTTGGCACGTAGCAGCACACAAGTGTAATAACATGTTTAACATGTTCTTTATTGTTTTGCATGTTTGTTGCTGGTTGCAAGGCTTTGACAGTACAGATGCATGTTTTTTAATGTCAGTAAAGCAGATTTTGAATTGAACTGAGTGGAGTAGGAGAAGAGAGAGAGAGAGAGAGTTGCTATGTGTATTGGCACCCTCTGGACATCCTAATTGAGCTGATTTACTGTTATGGCCTTGGGTGGAACCACTCTTCATGAGAGAGAGATTAATTAACAAATTGTCTCATCTGTCTCTCTTTCTCCCTCATTCTCTCATCTTCCTCATTCTCACTCCCTCTCTTTGTCTTTTTGTCTTTTTTCTCTCGCTCGCCCATCTCCATCTTTCTCAAACTTTTTCTGTCTTTTTCTTCTCTTTCTTCTAAATTGTTACCTTCACTTATTTCTCACTTTTACTTTCCTATCTTACTCTTTCTTCCCCCCCCTCACTCTTTTCTCGCTCCTCTTTCTTTGTCCTGTCTCCTCTGCCTCTGTGTTTCCATTTCTCTCTCTGTCCTTGTTTTGTTCTCTCTCTCTCTCTCTCTCTCTCTCTCTTTCTCTCTCTCTCTCTCTCTCAGGCTGCAAATGCATTAACAGTTGTGCTGTTAGAGAGAGTTATGGTGGACTGGTCTCAGATATTTGTTGAGCTGTAGTAAAGCAGTAAAGCAGATTGGTGGATTGTAGACGTCAGGTGCTGAGTAGAACCTTATTGATCTTCCCACATCAGCTCGTTTATAGAGCAATCTGGCCTGAAGTGAAAGTCCAGCTTAAAATCAAATTTCACAATTTCCCTCCCCTACCCTAAATGTGGTCGATCAGCCAGGACATGTTCAGTGTCTCAGATTCTCTTATTGAGTTTTGGACTGGAGTTATGAGGCTAGTGTAGCTATCAAGAAATGGAAACTGCTAACTGCATGCCTAAATGACTACACGCCTCAGATTGTTTAGCATTGCTAAGTGATCTCTAATAGAGTTGCCTGTGTGGTTTCTGATACTGTATGGCAT